GGCTGGGCGCCGAGGGTCGTGCGCCCCGCTCCCGACGCCGCGGATCCTGGACGCTGGAGCCAGAAGAGGAGGTTTTATTCCGCCCCGGTTTCCGCTCTTTTCCGGGTCGCTCTGACCCTCTCTGGATACTGGCCGGATCCACGGGGAAACCCGAAGACGCCGCGTGGGATTGAATTTCTGCTCACAGTTTGGGGGCTCTCATTTCTCTCTCGGACCAGAGCTGAGCGGCGAAGCCCCTGGTGAGCCTCCCCCTCCCCCATGTGGAAGTTTGGCTCCGTGGCTTATCCAAAGTTTTTATTTCTTTTCGCCTGGGGGGGGGGCACCATGGAAGTGCCCTCTTCCCGGGGGTCCGCGAGTTCAGCCGGTTCGCCCCCTGATTCCCTGGTCCGGGCGGGCCTCGTTCCGGGGGTGCTAGCCTGGCTGTTCCCTCGAGTGGGGTGATGAGTGACCTCGGGCGGGCTCTGCCCTGAACTGCGCTCCAAATTCTGACATCGGGCCCCCTGCTCCGAGGCAGTTTGGAAAGGATGCTGTGAACGTGGCCGTCCTGTGGTTGCCTCCCCCCCAAAATCCCAAACCGCTCCCCAAAGCCCCATTACCTAGGGAAGTGGCCGTTTTGAAAAAAGTAGAACTCTTTTTGGGATTTTGTGGCATGCCCTTCGCTCAGACCGGTCTTGTCTCCTGTTGGGAAAAGAAGCCTGCCTCTCCAGTCGCTTATTTCAGTTCTGGGCGCACAAGGAGGGGACGGAATTTGGGGGCTTAGAGTGAGCTCTGCGGCCCAGGGTGGCAGCATTTGCAACTCTTGGCCCAGCGTGGCGAGTTGGACCCGATCTGGGGTAGGGCAGAGGGAGGGGTTGGTAATGCCAAGGTCCCATGGTCGGCAGGCTTCCTGAGAGGGCCCGGGGAAGTGTTCTCCTATGCCGAAATTTGGGGCCTCTCTTTATCCAGTTAGCCTGGGCCTTTTCTCTCCTCTCGGGATCTCGTTGCCAGTGAGCGTGGATCTGACAGACTTCAGAGCCCTCTGCTCTGAGCTTAGCCTGGTCAAGAAGAGTGCAAAGTCTGGGGTGGCCCTGTGGGGGGGGTGGTCTGCCCCTCCCCGCCAAAGCTGCCATAAAACGGCCGAGTTTTGCTCATCACAGCCTTCCTGCTGGGGAGAAAAAAGTGGTGCTTGCCCCAACGAACTGAAATTAAAATCTCCCATCTCGCGGGGCCTAGGGCTAGGGACTGTTGTGATGTGGCGATTAATGTTGACCGGGTCTTGGGGCCACTTGCTCTGGAGCCAAAAGGCCTCAGACTCCACGCGTCGCAGCCTTTCATTTACACTAAGCTCCAATCCTCCTGCTTGCCAACCGAGAGAGGATGAGCCAAAGGATGGGCTCTCATCTCTGCCCCTGACCTTATTCCTCGGTGTTGCCTTCTGGTTCCTAAGGAGGAAGAGGAGGGCCGCCCTGGAGTGGTTTCTTTAACAGTGATTGCAACAGAAGAGAGCGATGGAACCCGAGGAAGAAAGGATTCGCTACAGCCAGAGATTGGTAAGTATTCTCAGGCATTTTTACACCCCACCCCCACCCCCAATTTGAAACCGAGTGATTATTTTGTTTCCATTTGCGAACAGACTGTGATTAGAACTTTTCAGGTGGAGGAGAGAAGGTGTATTAATACTTCATTGGGGATTTGGACCAAGTAGAGCCTCTGCGTTCATGCTGCTTGGGAAGTGCAGTCTGTAACTTCTTTAGGACCGTGAGAAATCAAAGGGTTGTGTGGATTGCAAGGAGACAAGGCTTCCTAATTTTGTGATACTGGTAGCAATAAAAACAACGATAAGTTTTAGGGTCAAAGCTGTTGGTGGGAAGCTCGTGCCTGTGTAATTTTTCGACTCTTGCTTGCCAGGGCCTGTGGCTCAGACCTGGAGAAAAGTCTGCACTGTTCTATTTTGTAAATGATTCTGAAGGGAGGAGGCGGAGTGCTGAGGACAGGTAGAATGCCGGACGCTGAGAAAGTTCTTTTTTTGAGAGGAGGCATATATGAATTAAGTCTTGTTGAACGAAATTCTTACTCAGGAATTTTGGGGAAGGAATTAGCTGGTGTGCACATACATACATGAATACTTGCCCTTTCGAAGCCCTGCCTTCCTTTCAAGGTTTCCCTGTTGGAGTTTAAGAATTTGCTTTTTGTTTTCCTTAGTCAAAGAGAGCCTTATTAATATTCGCGCTATTTACTTCAAACGTTTGGATTTCTGTTTGTAGAGTGGGAAGTGAGGAAAGCCACAGAATTGTGTGTATAACGTGAACTGTGCTGAACTGAAAGACCCAGACATTTACACTAGAGGAATTTATGGTGGTTTTATTTGGCTCTGCCTTTAGACTGATTTTGGAAGAAAAAGAGAATGGTTCTTTGCTCCAATTCTCTGATGATCCCAGCTCTTTTGGAGAGTGGGGCTGTTGTTGGTTTTAGGGTTCCTATTAAAATGGTTTGGCAAAAATAACCCAGCAGACAAGTGTTCTGGTGAGCCTTCTTTCAGAGAGCTGCCTCTTGTCTCCTCTGAATTCCCTGTGTTGACAGTATACTTCTCTGCGCTCACAAATAAAGTCTACTAGTGGTAGCGTTTTAAAGGTTTAGGATTTAGGGTTTTTTTTGTTTTTTTTTAATTAGAAACTCTTCTTTGGGAGCAGAGAGAGAGGATGCTGTAAAATGCCTTTCCCAGGTAGCCATTGCTAAGTGGGATGCATTTTTATGATGCCAGCTTATTGGAATGGTTGAGTGATTACAGAGGATCTAAGGTACCCTGTGGCCCCACCTTTCCAAGGAAAGAGCTTTTCTGCCAGCTAACACGGTCACAGTTTGTTCAAGGTAAGAGGGAACTGGCTAGGAAATCCAAGGAATCTGTGACTTCTATCTTGGTAAGGTCCTCGTTGTTGTTAATTAATGGAGATGATTACTACCTGTTGCATATATTAAGCCTTTAAGCATGTGTTTTTCTTTTGCTCAATGTGCTATTGTAGCAGTGCTCCATGGGAGGACACTATACATGTTTTAAGGATTTTTCTTACTTAGAATGTTGGGTATTATAATCTTTTTTTTTTTTCTTCTAATAGATTATTTTCATGTCTTACATTGTCCTCTGTCACCCCTCACCTCAATCTTTTTTTTTATTTTTTTAAGGGTATTATAATCTTGAAGTTTAAGACAACTGGTACCTTTTCTCATTCTATGATTACATGGAAAAAATTTCTCTCAAATATAAATCTTTTTCATAGTACAATTTTGGATCTAAGAGGATGGATGTTGGCTGCTTACTGAGTGGTAGTCTGTCTTCTAGACTTTTAATGCAAGTTCATTGCTGTCTGTATGAGTGCTTGTGTTACTGAATATTCGGGATGAGGTTAGCCCTTACTGGAAATGTTTCATATGCCCATAAAGTCAGGAACTTCTTCACTGAAAGCACTAAGAAGTTCTTTCTTATTTATCTTTGTTTCCAAAAGTTAGATTTTACATTGACTTATATTAATAGATTTTTTTAACAATGTCAGGTTTAAAGTAGGTCAAAGCTTAGAACTTCTTTTGCAGTTCGTGGCCATGGAACATAAAATTTGAAAGAGAGAAAATGACAGATTTATTAAGTTGCCTTAATTGTTAAAGTTCATGTGGTCCCATGCATTAAATAGCAAAGTGAATTGAATCCCTTATACACAGAGAATAATCTTTGTATAAGATTATTTCAGCAGTGTCTTCAGGAGTTCATCCACTCTCTGTGGCTCCAGAAAGTCCATGAACATTTTAAATTATATTATACATGTCCCCCTTTCTGATCAGGAATCTTAATATGGATCTTCGCTCAGATTGTTTTCTGTCGTAGGCAACAGCATCCAGTCCTCTGAGTCTCAGGGCAAAAGCAACAGTGTTTCTGGAGACAATTAAACCACACATTCCATACCCTTTTATTCTTGACTCTCTTTACTCCTTTGCTCCAGGTGCATAGAGACCAAGGGCGTGTGCCTTGGATAGCCTCTGGCAAGGTTTTAACACCCCAGGCACTACATAATGAGCTTCAAATACCCTAAACCCAAACTCATGGTTGGTTTGTCTCATAGCAGCCCTGTCAGACAGGGCAGAACAGCTTCTGTGGGTTTCCAAGACAGTAACTCTTCAGGAATAGAAAGCCTCATCTCTCTCCCAAGGAGCGGCTGCTGGTACCTTGCAGGTAGCTGCCCAACATGTACGCACTATACCAGGGGCTCCTTGACAAATAAAGGAGGAGATAGAAAAGAAGCACAAAACACACTATTAGACCAATTAACTGGGGTGTTCTTTGAAACCATGACCCTAAACTTCCAACCTAAGGAACCAAGTCCCATGAGGTGTTTGGTTATACAAAAGCAGTCTGTGCTGCTCCTTTCCCATCCTTGTTGTAAATAGATCACACAGCTTTTTTATAGGTGTATAACTTTTGGACAGCAGTTACAGTGATCGGCTGTGCAACCCTACCCTTAAATGTGGTATTTTCTAGCTCCCTCCCTGGTAAGCACTAATAAACTTTGTTCTCTGACATTTACTCTTTCCTGTTGTTTTACATAAGTGAGGTCATAAGATACTTGCCATTTTGTGATTGGCTTGTTTTATTCATCACTGATATCTTTGAGCTCCCCTTCATTTCTTCTGTTGATGAACATTTAAGGTTGTTTCCACTTTTTGGCTATTGTGAAGAGTGCTGCAGTGAACTTTGGTGTCCAAGTCTCTTTGAGTCTCTGCTTTTAGATCTTTCAGGCAAATACCCAGGGGTGACATTTGGGGGCCCTATGATAGTTCTGTTTTGGTGCTTAGAGGAACGGCCATACTTTTCACAATGGCTATGCCAATTTACATTCCTACCAGCAGTGTATGTGAGGGGGGAATTAGGGACTTGATGGCAGTGAGTTGGATGACTAATGACATTTCGTATCGTTTTGTCTGTTTAGTGAGCATTTGAAAGTCTTCTTTTGTGGAATGTCTGTTCAAGTCCTCTGCCCACTTTATGATTGAGTTATTTGCCTTTTTGTTATGTGGTTGTCAAAGTTTTATATATTGCTATTAGATTCTTTTTAGATGTATGGTTTTCAGAGATATTCTCCCAGTCAGTGGCTTGTCTTTTCACTTTTGTGGTTAAGTCTTTCGATGAGCAAGTTTTTAATTTTTATGAGGTCCCATTTATTTATGTTGCCTTTCAAGGTCTGTGCTTTTATTGTCCTACTCAAGTAGCCATTATTTAAAAGCTAAGTCTGACAACATTGCCTCTGAGTTTTCTTTTACCAGTTTTAGGTGTTTGCACCTTTAGTTCCTTAATCTATTGTAAATTTGTTTTGTGTATGGTTTAAGACATGGATTGTTTAATTTTACTGAAATTTTCCCAGAGCCACTAATCGAAGAGATTCTTTTACTGTCAAATGGGCCATAGATGTATGGGTTTATTTCTGCAGTTTCAGTTTTATTCTGTTGTTCTGTATGTTTATTGTTAGACTTACTATCAGGCTGTTTTGGTTACTTACTGTATCTGCATAAACTCCTGTGCCATCGAATTGATTCACATTCAAAGCCACCCTCCACAGAGTGTCTGAGATGGTAAATCTTTACAGGAGTGAACACCCTCATCTTTCTCTCCCACAGATTCTGGGGGGTTGAACTGCCGACTTTGTGGTTAGCAGTCCAACGCTGTGTAAGGTTTTAAAATGATGAAGTGTGGGTCCTCTTACTCTGTTCTTCTCTTTCGACATTGTTTTAGGTATTTGGGGGGCCGGTTGCAATTCCATAGGAGCCCTAGTGGTGCATTGGTTGGACTGATAATCGCAAGACCACCAGTTCAAAACCACTAGTAGCTTCGAGGGAGAAAGAGGAGGCTTTCTACTCCCATTAAGAGTTAGAGTTTAAATTATAGTTATAGTTTAAAAAAAGAGTTATAGTCTTTGACGTATAACGTCCCCCTCCCCCTTCCCAGGGGGACGAACTACAGTAACTCGGATGAAAGGAGACAGTGGGCAGTGTAAAATATGAAAATAATAATAATTTATGATTTATCAGGGGTCCATGAAGGTGGAAGGGTGGGGGAGGGGGGGAGAAAGAGCTGATACCAAGGGCTTAAACAGAAACAAACTATTTGAAATTGATGATGGCAATATATGTATAAATGTGTTTGATACAATTGATGTGTGGATTGTTATAAGGGCTGTAAGAGCCCCCAATAAAATGATTCATAAAAAAAAATTAAAAAGTTGTAGTCTTGGAAACCCACAGGGGCAGTTCTATCCTGCCCTATAGGATTACTGTGATCTGGAATCAACTTGATGGAAGTGAATTTGGTTTGTTTTTGCCATTCCATAGGAACCTAGTGGTTATAAATTGGATTGCCAACTTCAAGGTCAGCACTTTCAAACCAACAGTTTCTCCTCAGGTTAACGATGGGGCTTTCTACTCCCTTAAAAGGGTTACAATATCAGAAACTCATAGGGGCAGTTCTACCCTGTCCCATTGTCCCTGTAAGTCAGCATTCACTCAGTGCCAG